ACCAAAATGTCGATTACAAAGATTACCTTTTTTTTATTGTTTTTCCGCTGGGGCTATCGTTTGCTAAAAACAGTATTCAGATACGTACTATTACATTATAGACATTTCTCGGATTTCAAAATTGGGTCCCCTGATAATGCGAAAGAACCTGCTACTACGAAATCTCCAATTTAGCGCCGAAAAATATGGATTCCTACTATCAAGAAATCGGACGCGCCGGCCAGGACGGACAACCAGCAAAGCGCGTCACCTTCTATCGCGACGCAGTCTAGGATTAAGCGAAATATCGGTAAAATACTACTGGGTTTCCTGAAACCCGATCTCAGCTTCCATCCAGGCGCAAAAGACGCAAACCCGTGACAACGTCCGCCCAGCACTGCGAGGACCTCGTGGAGAAGATGAAGGATCTGTTGAACATTAGCGAGTGAAGGAGAAGGGCGCTGCAGGCCCTGGGAGGCCAAAATTTCAGAGGCATAGAATGGTGGTTCCCGCCACTACGACCCGCGCTTCGACTTCGCCGACAAGCATCGGCCGGGCTGTTGCGACAACCGCGACGCCTACATTCGGAAGCGGGAGACGGGCACGGCGATCGAGGTGGAAGTTGGCGCGTGAGCGGCCAGACTTCATTGCATGGTCAGCCTTGGGAGCCTGACTCTTCCATAATTAATGTCATTGACGATCTGGAGTTGTTTTGAGGTGCTTCTCGACGCCCTTCAGAGGCCAAAAGGCAACACCTGATTATCGACTTATTCGGGGAAAGGTGAAAACCTCATTTAATTTTTGAATTTTTTCATTTTAGTCAGCCCAGAGCCACTTATCCGCCGGCTTCGCACAAGGCGTTCCTCGGCGCCGGCAAGCCGAAAAACGACGAGTGGTGGAAAGGTAGATAATTTTTAGTTTGTAGAAGTTCTTCCGTTTTTCAGCCCTCAGCACCCAGCTTCGCCTGATGAACTACACGCAAACCGAGACGCGCCACGGCGCCATATGCTCATGTCGTTTTTGGTGTGACGCCGCAGGGCCGGAATTGGTATCAAGCGGACAATAAGGTGGATTTTACAATATGAACGAGATTTACCGGTTTTTAGTCGCTCAAAGTGCCGGCCACCGAGGTGCTGCTGGCCGGCGTTCGCGGAGCTGCACTTTCGGGAGGTATGAAACGAGGCGCTACTCAAGCGGCCAAGCCGACAAATATGGGTTCATCGGATGAGAAAAAGTTTGTATTTTGTAGGGTTAAATTTTCACATTTCAGAATCCTCGGCTCTACACGCCTTCGCGTCTACGAGTTTGCCCAAGAAGTGGACACAGACTCGGCTGTCGAAGCCGGAAAAATGGAACTGGTAAGGTCCCGTTTTTCCTCTATCCTCTTCGTGCTCTTCTAGATGAAGAAGCTCCCGCGTTGGAGACGGAACGCGTCGAGCTCGGCGGTCAATGCAATTTGCCGCCTTTCCAGGTTTGAACGCATTGTTTCATAAGATCAATTTTTTTAGATTTGCAGCAACAACGTGCTGGACCAGTTGACGGAGATTCGGCCGAACAGGTGGGAAATATAAACTTTTTTAGCTAAAGTAATTTTTTAGCATCGCCGCCCTGGAGCCGATCACCGATTGGCCCGACGCGAAGAAGACGCGCTTCGGGCTCGGCTTCATCGACGTCATCAAGGACGTGTGCGTCTCCTACGGTCTCGACATGAATGCCAAGGTTAGCGGCCTGACATTTGGTGAGTTTTTCGTGTGCGAAGCAGTCTTCATCTCTTGCCTCATTTTTTGACATAAAAACTTGTAAATCTTGCGTTTAGCTAACACCATCTCAACAATCGGCCGTTTCTGATGTGCTCAAGCCGTCGCAAGCCGCCGTCTACACGATGCACCTCCATTCCGGCGCAACGATGGTGGGTTTTTGTTTTTAGTCTTGAAATTCGGACACAAACGTAGCATTTATTTCATGGCTCCTTGATTTTTGAAAATCTAAATGAAGGGTTTTTGGAAAAACCGGACCTTGCATGTCGAAATTTTGCGATTTGAAAATCCCTATCTTTTTCCGTTTAGTTTTTCGTCCGTAGAAATCATGGTTTGTTCTTGTCGTTGAGTTTGTTCTTTTTAATCAAAATGTTGACATTCAAATCGGCGAAGCGCAGATTACATTGCCGTTACCCTCCTTTTCAGAAAGATCTGGCCCATACGCGCGGGCTGAGCGAGGGTACGGTAGCCACCTACCTGTCCGAGGCGCTACGTGAAGGCCTACCCGTCCACCAAAAGCCGCTTGGGCTCACCGAAGAGAGACGGACAGCCCTTCTTGCTGCAATTGACGACAATGGAAGAGGTATTCTTCCTGGCTAGACTTTACTTTACCCGCCCCCGCTCGCTTCTCCACTAGCCGGAAGTGGCCAAAATTTTTCGACATTACGGCTATTTTATCGAAATTTGGGCTACGCGAATCGATAGCGCATCAATAAACACATAATGCTTTGTAATTACAGCCAAAATAATGTCATGTGAAAAAATTATGGCAAAAACCTTTAGGATCTTACGGCTCGAGGCTTACCGCATTCCTGTTTTCCTTATATATTTTTTACAGATATCTTCCGGATGAAGCCGTTGTTTGAAAAGCTGCCCGAGGGCACGATGGACTACAACGTTCTGAAGGTATCATTTGCCGGTAGATCCTATTAGTTCCATTTTTCAGATGCTGCTTCGAATTCTCGAATTCGAGTTTGGCACGCAGAATGACGGTGAAGAGCCACCGACGTCAGGAGTAGCTTCTGGAGAGGTAGCCATTTTGCCCGGTTAATTTCATATTATTTTTTAGACTTCCGAGCCCGCTGTCCCGGCCTGGATGACGGCGCTATCCTCACAGCCCCCGGTCAAGAAATCGAAACAATAGAATTATTTTTGCTATACATTTTTCCGAAGTTTGTTTGTAGCTTTTCGATTACGGGTTGTGATCTCGGTTTTCAGTTGTTTTCCTACATTTTGCGTTGTTGAGGATAAATTGATATGTTTTCTGACATCACAGGGTCTGGTTTCGTGGGATGGGGGTGTGAAATGGCACTTTTTTTGAAAAGCACCCAGGTGAGGCGGAGGTTTCTTTATCTGTATCTCTCTCTCTCTCTCTCTTCTCTCTCTCTCCAGTGTTTGGGTAGCTCCTGCTATGATATTTTTAAATTTAAAAACAATAGTGTGTGTGCCAGTTTGCGCGAAACTTCCGTCATTATGTCCGGAGGGCATATCGCCTGTGGGAAAGGGATTTTAAGGGGCATATCGCATAATGGAATTAGATGCAGAATGTTCCCTCGGGAGGAAGTCTGGCACTCATCAAATTAACTATTATCTTCTATATGAAATTTTGGGCTTTTAAAAATCTCGTTCACCGGGTGAATGTCATCGAATCGTCATCGAATGGTGATATGGCCAACTGCCCATTGGTTTTCTTCGAACGTTTCGATATAGATCTTGGTTTCCGGCGCCGATTTCCACCTTCCCCCCACCACTCTCCTCCCTTCGCGCGCTCTCTCTCTCTCTCTCTCTCTCCTCCTCTCCTCTCTCTCTCTCTCTCGCTCTCTGTCTCTCTCTCATCTCGTAAAATTCAAAATATTTTCGATTTTGCAGGGTCAATGAAGCGTCCCGGCGCCTACGGCACAAAAACAGCCATCGGCGCTGTGGAGGGCGGCAGCCTCATTCTGCCGGAAGACGCTTCCGCTTTCTCCAGCTCCCGGACCGATCTGATCAACGCTGTGATCGAAAGCTCGGCGCATCCTTGGGAGTTGATGCTGCTTTGGCGGACAAATAGACGAATTCGGTAAGCATAGCCAATGTTGCTAAACACAATAAGACACTTACTAGGCCGCCATACTGTGACTAAATAGTAGTTTTTTAGTGGTCACTAGACTTTACACTTTTTTGGCACAGACTTTGACGCTTTCCGCAAATTTATCGGTCTATTCGTTCAAAAATCTTTTTCATGGATCGACTCCTGAAAAGAGGTATATTTCCCGGACGCGTTGCCGATTTTTATATCTGCGGAAAAATGGTGAACGCTACTGAAAATCGACCTGGAGGTAATTCTGAGGTGAGCCGTTTTTATTAGTCTACCAGCGCCCAAAACCCGCTTCGCGGGCCTTGGGCGCTGGAATGCGGCCTTTGCATGAGAAATTTGGCTTCCCGATAGCTCGGGTCCCTCGGACCCCCTCCCTCCGTACGACCACACGCTCGTGTGCAACTTACAAGAATGAGTAGATTTGTTATTTTTTCACATTGTGCAAATTAGCCTTCCCGGACCCCCAAAAACCAATAAAACCGGCTTTAACTTTGTAAACTTGTATTTTATCGGGATTCTGACAACGCCATCGGAAAGAGAAGGGTCGATTCCCCCGCGTGGTATGGGAGAATTAGCGGCATTTTGACACGGAAGGCCCTCAAATCGGGCCGCGAAAGTGACATCCACACACAGAGATACACGCCAAAATTTTATAAGGTAGGATAACAAACCCTAAATTTGCCCTGTTATTGTGTTGCATTCGGCGAAGAGCTGTATTTATTTTTCGACAAAATAACAAAGATAATCAAACGCATTTAAACTTGAGAATTCCAGATGATCGTGGCCGAATTGTCGATCCGGATACAAGACAACTTTGGCACAGCCGTTCAGTTCGCCAATTATCATCCTTTGATGGTTGTTACAGAAAAGTAAGAAATGCGGTAGTGTTTATCGTCGCATTTAGGAACGCCCGTCGCTGAGCTGCACGTAACAAAATGGATCGAAGCCGAAACAAGTGTTAGGAATCTAGTCCGGCAATTGCCGAGTGTCGCAATAAAAGAAACTGATTACAACAATTCCAGAGGTCGCCACAAATTGGGTTTCGCCCGGACGTCAGTCTGACACAATTCTTCCCTATCTCGCGAAAAATTCAGCATCCTCGCTTCGTCCGATTTCGATTTCGCTGACGTATAAAACGGTGCCTATTTTTTGAGAACCTGCGGGCAGAGGCTGGAATCTAATTAGCTAACGCCTATCATTAAGTTCTTCGCTGAATACCTGGTACTCCCTCGTCAATGATGAATCTGCAATCTTGGAAATGACACAAGCAAGTTATTGAACCAGATTATTAATGATCTACCACCGCAATTTGATTATGAGCGGCAAGGCGACAATAGCTCGCCTTTATTGCTTACGATTTTCTATCAGAATCTCGAACATCATAATCTCGATGTGCAGAATCTGGAAAGTTCAGCATCTCGATCAGCCAATTATAAAAAAATGCAAAATCTCGAAAACCAAAATCACAACAATGTATACTTTTTGCCCCACATAAAAAAAGTTCGGTTGCAACTTGATCTAGTGCATCCGTAGATATAGAAAAGAAGTTAAATTTACCAGGTTTCCTGGCAATGTTTTGTAAATAGTCGCTTGTTTTGGACTCTCTTGGACGATGCCTTTCAGATCGAATGCTTTCTACAGACCATCGCTGAGGCGCAAGGCATGTCAATGTTGATGGGCTGTGCACGGACTTTTCAAAAGCTAAGGAGTAATCTGCACCTGAGAGTCGAAACCATGCTGTTCCAGCAGGCAAGTACAGTATTTTTTTTCCAATAAAAGCGATCGATCAGTTACGAGTCGGTCTCGGTTCTTGATTTGAACATTTCAACACCAAGGAAATAGAAAGAATTTTAGGCGTATCGGTTGTTTGAAGAGCATGAAAAATCAGGGGTGAGTTATTAATGTTCGCCTACGCCTAAGATCCGAGGTATTTGGCAGGCGTCATTCTCGGAAAGCTTGACCGGAATGGGCGAAGGCGTATCTCTTTAAAAAACCAATTTAGATATTTTGGAAGAATGAGATGATGGCCGAGAAGCTTCTACAATTAGAGCAGCTGATGAGCCGCCCCGGACAGATGTCAGCTGGTTGTTCAAAAATTCCAGAGTTGCTGCTCAATTTCCTACCCTGTCAATCTCTGCCGGGCCTAATTCGGCTAGTCAATCCTGGCAGGTTTTCTACCTGATATTCTAGAAAACCACTATTACTTTCGGTGCTTTTCCAACAACCGGGGTGAACCAATTTTGGTTCTTTGGGATTCCTGGGGAGGGAAGTATTCCGGGGGGGAAACCAATTTTTTCCTGGTGGTCCCGGTTGACCTAGTAATCAAATATAAAGTGTCTTAGAATTATTTTTAGTAAGTTTTAACTATATTTAAAGCAGAATAACTTTCAGAAAAATGTTTGAAAAAGTCGAAAATTTGGTCATTTTGGGTCTTTCCCCCCCTTGCGAATCCTAAAGGTTCTATAGGATTTTTCGACCTAATTTTTAATTTTTTACCTTTTTTTGGTTAAAATGTGTGTAGTTTTTATGCACAGGAATAGTTAACAACAATTTAGAAACGCATCCGCAATTTATACGAAAATCTAGGCTTTCGCCGAAAAAAATTTGTTTCCCCCTCGGAATACCCCCCCGGAATCCTAAAGAACCCCAATTTTTTCCTTAGGTCCCGATTTTTCTAATATAACTAGAAGAAGCGTTTCGAAACTGTTTTTTGCTATTTGTTAACGTAAAAACTTTACAAATGTTTATTAAAAAAATATAAAAATAGAGACTATTCGCCCAAAAATGGCCAGTTTGCGACCAAAATTTAAAAAAAATTGTTTCTAAGTTTTTAGATAGTTTTCCACTCGAAATATGGTTAAATTTTACTAAGAAAATTATTAATACACTTACAAATACGTTACTAGGCATTTCCGAAATTATAGGAAAAATTATCTTCCCCCGGCTAAAATCCCCTCCCTGTTATTGGAACCTTATTTTCAATCGCGAACTCTCTTTTAGGCAATCATAGATCGGCATGAGGTATCTGGACGTCACTATGCGCTGTCTAGCCATTTCTGCCTGCGCTGCGCCAACGGTCCGGAACCCGAAAAAGCAGTTGAGGCCAAGGTCGGAATCGACTCAATTAAAATTGTCCAACAATCAACGTCCCACGATATTCCAAATTCGACTAAATAGACCTGTCCATTCAGCGATTTGGGCTACGGTTTACTTACCCACCCCCCAGCCGGAAGTTTTTGGCCATAACTTTTTTATTTTACACCAGCGCCCAAAACCCGCTTCGCGGGCCTTGGGCGCTGGAATGGTGCGTTTGCATGAGAAATTTGACCTTCCGGTAGCTCGGGTCCTGGGACTCCCACTACGCGCGCGTGCAACTGGTAAGAATAGAGAATTTGTATTTTTTCACATTATGCAAATTAGCCCTCCTGAACCCCGAAAAATGAATAAAACCGGCTTTAACTTTGTAAACTTGTATTTTATCGAAATTCTGAGAACGCCATCGGAAAAAGAGTCGATTACCCCAAGTGACGAAGAATTAGCGCATTTTATACACGGGAAGGCCTTCAAATCGGGCCTCGAAACTGACATCCACACACACACACACACACAAAGAAACGCGACCAAATTATATAAGGTAGGATTATTGTAGGCTCAAATTAAAACTCCTAGTATATTTTTCGACGCTCTATCGAATGGCGTTGCAAAAATCCCGACAAAATAAGCGAAAATACCGAAAACTTTGAGACCCTTCGACCTTAGGGGGAGGGGGGTAAAGTAAACTCTTACCGCGATTTGGATATGACTAAAAACATCCTACCTTATATAATTTGGTCGCGTATCTTTGTGTGTGTGTGTGGATGTCACTTTCGAGGCCCGATTTGAGGGCGTTCCCGTGTCCAAAATGCCTTAATTCTCCGTCACCCGGGGAATCGACCCTCCTCTTCCGATGGCGCTTTCAGAATCCAGATAAAATACAAGTTTGCAAAGTTAAAGCCGGTTTTATTGATTTTTGCGGGTCCGGGAGAGCCTAATTTGCATAATGTGAAAAAAAACTCAAATTCTCA